ACCCATAAAAATTGAAAACGTGTGTGCACCAACACACCCAAAATTCCAGCCACAATTTTGGGGTGGGGGAAATCTGGGGAGTTGAAGTCCATACATCTTAAAGTTGAGGAGGTTGAGCAACCCTGGTCTACGATATCCCTCCTGCAGGCTGTCCCCTCTCCAACCGCGAACATAAATCTCCTCTTGTTTCTTCTGGCAGCGTCCGACTTGGCTAGCAGCTGCGTCGCTGCCCTGCGCGTTCTAGGAACCCCCGGACGGCTTTCCTAGAAATCCGGGAGGATTTTGCAAAGACGCTGCCAAAGATGCGCGAGGACGCTTCTCTTCCGCGTCCCGCGCTGGGGGGAGACGCTTGCTTCCCCTGCTGGCCCCCCTCCCTCCGGTTGATCCGATTTCCCTAAAAGAGAAGAGGGGAGGCAGAAAAATTAGGGGAGATCCACGCCCCGGAGATCACCCCGGCGAGCCGTTAATGCTTGCCAAGGGCAGGGGGAGGTTTTTTGGACCAGGAGGACCGAAGGATCGAGCCTTTGGCAAGCCAGAGCGTGGCGGGGTTTGCGTCGAAGGGCTGAAAGACGGGCTGCTTGGCGCTGTTACCTCCTGTGACTTTTCCAAGCAGGCAGCAAATGCCTGGCGGCCTGGATTTGTCAAGCAGGAATTTTAATTGATCCTGCCAGCCCTGTCGTCTTCCTCCTTTCCTTCCTCCCTTCCCTCCCCTGTGCGTTTTGTTTATTAGCATTCGGTGTATACAGCCGCCTGTCTCCCCGACGTGACTCTGGGCAGCGCACGGAGGTAAAAGCCCCAACACAGGAGCCCAAGACGTAATCCCCAAAACATTAAAAGCCAGACCAACGATGGAAACCGTAAAAAACACCCCCAGCCGCAGGAGCGCGCGGTCACTTTCACAGACCGTACAGCCCCTTGGCAGGCTCCGCGCCGCACCGTGGTCTCCCTTGCTTTTTTTTCCCTTGTGGTCAAAACTGCGTTAGGTAAAATGGGATGGTCAAGAAGTCCAGGATGGCTTGCAAAAAAAAAAAATACTCTGAGATTTCTCAGGCGTGCCACCCACCCTGTTGGAGACGGAGCAATAAACTGCTAACAAATAAAAGCCGGCACCGGACCAGAACTCTTCTGTTTCTCTCCGCCGGCAGCAAAAAGTAGCTGCCCCGTTGGAAATGTTTGGATTATAGTCTGATATCCTCATCCTCATCCTTGTCGTTGTTGTTGTTGTTGCTGTTTATTAAATTTATATGCCGACCATCTCCCCCAGAGGGCAACTCTGGGCGGCTCACAGTTAAAATCCCAAACAGGAAAAAACAATGAAGAGATAAATATCCATATTTATAAGTATGTGACGCTGTTTTCTTGGAAAAAATAAAGGACAAATCTGTAAAAGGGGCAGATCTGAAAGAGGTTCATAAGGATATCTATCGATCGATCGATCGATCGATCTATCTATCTATCATCTATGTCTGTCTGTCTATCAATCATCTGTCTGTCTATCTATATCATCAATGTCTGTCTGTCTACCTAATCTATGTCTGTCTGTCTATATCTATCATCTGTGTCTGTCTATCTGTCAATCATCTGTCTGTCTATATGTATCATCTATGTCTGTCTGTCTATCATCTATGTCTGTCTGTATCAATCATCTATGTCTGTCTGTCTATCAATCATCTATGTCTGCTGTCTATCAATCATCTGTCTATCTATATCATCTGTGTCTGTCTATCTACCTAATCTATGTCTATCTATATCTATAATCTATGTCTGTCTATCTATCTATCAATCATCTGTCTATATCATCTATGTCTGTCTGTCTATCTATCATCTGTGTCTATCAATCATCTTTTGTCTGTCTATCATCTGTCTGTCTATCATCTATGTCTGTCTATCAATCATCTATGTCTGTCTGTCTGTCTGTCTATCATCTATGTCTGTCTATCTACCTAATCTATGTCTGTCTGTCTATATCATCTATGTCTGCCTGCCTGCCTGCCTGCCTGCCTACCTGCCTACCTACCTACCTACCTATCTACCTACCTACCTACCTACCTACCTACCTATCATCTCCTTATGAACCTCTTTCAGATTTGCTCCTTTTGCAGGTTTGTCCTTTATTTTTTCCAAAAAAATAGGGCCACTGTAACGATAATTCCATTATAATTACATTAATTTTATAATCCATTGCTGTTATAATTAATCATGTAATTCATTTTAACTTAATGACACGCCCACGCACATCTATGTCATTGCTGATGTTTACAGCTGTGCCTGACAAAGGAAAATTCAGGAGCAAAGCCAAGAAAAGGAATAATTAAATTAAAGCAATCCAAAGGGCAGCTCGGTGAAATAAAGGACCGTCGTTCACAATAAAGGACGTGGGGTTGCTGTAATTATAATTCAGAAAAAGGTCTTTCCAATTCCATTTTCTTTCCTGGCTGCTCACTGAACCAGCAGGGAGGCGGTGGGCGGAAAAAGATGGCGTCCCTTGCTCTGTTAGGCTCAATGGCACAATATCCTCAACGTTGCGCAACAGTGGTGCTTTTCTTCATTCTGTTAAAAACTTTGGTTTGTTTTGTTTTTAAGCATCCCCAGAGAAACATCAACCCATTTGAGACAACTGCTCTTAGGGCTGCTGCAACGAAATTACAAAGACCGCATGGATTTTGGTAAGAAGCATTTTGACCTTTGACTTCGTAGGTCCAGATGGGGCCACCTTAAAGGCAAACTTATTTTGTACTCCTTCTTTTCCCTTCAAAAACAAACCGAGATCACGTCGTGAACCCAACTTCTGATCGAGAATGAGGTTTGCTTTAAAAAAAAAAAAAATCTGAGTTTTGTTTGTTTTTTTTAAATATTGAAACGATATAAATCTTGATGCATTATGTTATTTCAGTGCTGCAGTGTTTATATACTAGGACTAAACATTAACCGTCTATTATTTAAAAAGCTGAAAGTATTGAAAATAAAAAGGGAAAAATAAACATTCGATCAGTATTAATTGCCATTTAGGATGCCACTGCTATAAACATAAGTTGATTTAACTTTTTATCCAATGTTGAGTATAAGATGAAAAAGAAAGGACCGCTGGAATTCACATCAAAGTATTAATTACATGATAATAGTTTCAGTCTTGAACAAATTACTTAATATTAAGATCTTCATTATATTGTTATTAATGTGTAACATATAGGGGTGTGTGTGTGTGTGTGGCGTGGTGTGTTGATAAAAGTAAATAAAAAATAGACAAAGCAAGGGTAACAAATGTTAAAAAACCTAAAAAGTAGTGGGGGAGGAAAGGAATAATAATAATAATTAAAAAGAAAAGAGAATGGGTTTTTTGGAAGATAGCCCTTTTCCAGAGTTTAATATCCTAAGAATTCATTCAACCTGCTGCGTTATCCAGACTTGGCCACAACTGAAATTTGACTCATCCACAAGTGATTTTATTCTTGTTGATTTTTTTAGATGAATTTTTCCACCACCCCTTCTTGGATACTAGTGCCTCTATGAAAAAATGTAAGTTCCTTTCGTTTTTTTCTCTTCTGTGTTGATACATAGATGCACAGCACACACACACACCCAATTCAGCAGTGGGACTTTAAATATACTTCCCTATTTTTTCCTTGAGGTTGTATTTATGTGTGTAAGGGGCAAAAACCTTCTCTAAATCCACTAATACTTAATAGGGAAGATTTTGCTTTCTGTGGATTGGGAAGTTGGGTATTATTAGGACTAAATTCTAATGTATAGCATAGTTGGCTATTATTAGTTGGCTGTTATTAGGACTAAATTCTAATGTATAGTATAGTTGGCTATTATTAGTTGGCTAGTCTTAGGATTAAATAGTTGGCTATTCTTAGGACTAAATTTGATGAATAAATAAATAAATTCTGTCTCTTGCATTTGAATGCTCAAGATAAAAACAGTTCTCCCTTTCAAGCTCCTAACTGGTGAGCAAACAGACCTCCTATGTTCAGATTTTCCAGTTAGAGATCTACTTCTAGGTCAACTCATGCCAGATTTCACCTTCCTAAATTGTGGGGAAGAACCCTTTCATTTATGACAGGCAGTGACCTCTGTGTCTCCTGATGAATGGACACACAGATCCTCCTTTCAATGCTCTAAAACCTGATAATTTTATTATCTACCCGAAATATAACAGCCTTTCTTGCTGTACCTTTATAATCGGTTCATGAAAGCAATGGGTTCATTTCATGCTATTTTACATCGCTCGTGTTGTCCTTGACGCATGCTTTAGGCTAATTCTTTTATTTATAGTTGGAGTTTCTACTTTTTCACTACCTTTTTCTCACCTGGGCCTGTCGTAATGGATGATAAGGTATGCTTAAATGGGACAGAAATTCACTTGCTGGAGAGAGATGCAAAATCGCGAATGTGCAGTGAAACGGTTTTTCAGGACTGGAAGGAGATATAGGCACTCACTTGTAGGAAGGAGAGATACGCATGGCATCTGTGAGATTTCCTCATCCAGGGAGTGCTGGTAAATACGTTTTTAACAAAGAAGCCAAGTTGTGCCTCTGGGAACACGTTGCACGCCAAGTTCTCTTGGTTTCCTGCTTCATGCATCCAAGAGTAGAAATGGTTCTCTTTCTGCTAAAGATGTTGGAAAGTCACCCTCACAGAGTATTCAGTGGTCAGATTCACACATCACACAGAGTCCTGGTGTAATTGGCTTCATCTTGGCTTAGCATGTTGTAGGAGATTTAGAAATCATGCTTAAGAGTACGTGTACCCAATGAGTAGTGGTTGATGAAGTAAACCTTAGCTTAGTGTGAGGTGAGAACTCCATCCAACGTTGAGTGGTTCAACCTGTTCCAACGTTTTGGTCTGAAGAGGGTGGAGAAGGACAGCTCTTTTCATACCCACCCAGCAGGGGCATAGAGGTTATGTGGTCCAAAATTTGAGACAGGCCAAGCTCAGTTTGGGATAAGATTGTTTGATATGTTCAGTTTCAGAATTCAGTTCTTATGGAATGGGTGGTATTCTGGGTTATTCCCTTATCTAGACACTGAACTAGCGCAACACGGCCTAATCCCCTTCTGCTTAAGTCACCACATTTATTTTTGGTTTAGCACAACATTTGAACCCTTCTCCCAAAGAAACCATAGTTTCTGGCAAGACACCCTCATTTGAAATCATGGTTTGTTGGTTTGGGGATAGGCATTCGTTTCTACGCAGATGTAGATACACATTTATAAATAAATAGTATAAACACTAAATTAAATTAATGAAATAGGAAATCAAATACTACAATTTGGTTTATAATCAGAAGCCTCGCTAATTCCAGATTTGTTTCGGGCTTTGCTCATTTCTTCTGCGTATCAACCGCAGAAATGGAAAAGAGACAATCAGGAATTGGTTAAATGAGCTTTATTTGTTTTATTGTTGTGTGTTTATTTGTGTAGTCTTTCTACTGCCTCAATCCTCATGGATTCCAGGGGGTTTACAAATACTAAAGTTTGCTCAACTTCCCAATTTTCACATAGTTTGTCTGACAAACTATGGTTTAAACAAAGCCTGAATCAACGTTCTGTTTGCACATAGCAGGAGATATTTGGGGGGAGCAATAAGACAATCCTGTTGTTTTCTGTTTTCATGTCAACTGGGGCTTTTAAGCTGCTTTCCTTCAATGGGTGCCAATAAGGGGGAGTTTTTAAGGGTGTTAGATGCTTCTAGGAAAATCAAGGTTGTAAAGCAGGAGTTTAGAATGCCTCCTGTATTATAACTTCTTTCAATATTGAACCTCCTCATCCTTAACTGCACTCAGGTGTCACTCCTGCGGGCAGAAAAAAGTTCTCCTGGTTTAGGGCTGCGTGCAAGCCTTCTCGGTCCTTACCTTCAACAGCAGGAACCCCCTGGGGTTCTGGGCCAGAGAAGGGCGGTCACTCTCCAAACCGGAAAGGATACTCCCGTTTCAAGGGTGTTCAGAGACTAGCAGATTCTTCTACCCCATTGGTTCTTCCATCAAGGACAAGGGTTTCAACCAAACGTGATCCATTTGTTGGCCAAGAAGAACCTTCTCAACCTTGGCTTTCATTGCCAACAGCCCGGCAGCCACCCCAAACAGTGCCACCATCTGCACCCCCCCTATGGCGGCCAAGCCAGCAGGGGTCTTCACACAAGCCGGAAAGGATCTTCTTGACATGGCCTCCATTCCCTTCATTACCAGCTGCTTCAGAAAAGCGACGGGGCACCGCTCTGCTAAAGGCACAAACCCAGACCCTCAATTGCCAGAAATGGATTCCCATGATCCAGCCACTACCTTCAGCATCATCAGGCCAAATGCCTTGGGACCCCAGTCCCCGAAAACATCAGCATCAGCAAGTATTGGTGACAACCTTGCGTCCCATGTCACGTCCATCCCATATCTGGATATAAATCAGGAGTCAGTCATACTGGCACAGCTGCTCTGTCCCTGTCATGCTAGAAGGGAGTGATGCTACAATGTGAAATGCAGGAGAAAGGAGGTTTCCCATTTCCATCTTTCAGGAGTTAATTAGGATAGTGATGTGGGCTGACCAGAAGACAGTCACACAGTTTGCTAATTAGGGCACCAATTAGCAAATCAGTGCTGTTCACTGAATTGAGAGAACAGCTCACCATGTGACTATGGTTTGGAAGTCCTTGGGATGCAAAGCACCATGTGTCCACTTGTGAACCTGACCTTTTGGGAAGAGCATGAGGGAATAAACTTTGGCTTGGATGTTGAGAGAACAGTTTCAAGAAAGAAGTTTGTTTGGAATTTCAGATCCTTGGAGGTACCTGAATAGCAACAGTGACTGAACAAATGGACCAGGTCAAGTCATCTTCTCAGTGACCTCATGCAGATGTGTCCTGAAGCACTTCTTGTCCAAAGCTGCTTCTGGGGGGAATATTTGTGCAATCACTTCATGGCATCTGAGGTGCCCACCATTGCTCAGAGCAGGGCATTGATGTTCTTAATTGAAGATCTCCAGCTAGGAAGTGGTCAAAATTTGGAGAAGACCTTGGGTGATATACTTGGAGAAAATGATACAAGTCAGGACAGATTCTTATTATCTCCAGCTGCAGAGCAGAGAACATCATCTGTACGGTGGTCCACCAAAACATTGTTTCTCACCTATATAACCTTGTAGCTCTCCTCTTTTAGTTTACCTACCTAGTAATGCAGGGATGGAGATCTTGATGTCCTCCAGGTATTGCCGGACTAGGAACAGGGAAACCCATATTCAAGTCCACCCTCAGCTATGGAAGCTCACCCGTGGACCAATAATTCCATCTCAGCCCAACCTACCTTGAAGGTAGTTGTTGTGGAGAAAAATCAGAGGAGGGATTACTATGTTTCTTGCCTTGAGGAATTATGGGTTATAAATCAAATAAATGAGCAATGGTCAGGGATACGTAGTCCAGCATATGAGGACCAGAGATTTTCAACCCTGTAGCATTAAAATGTGAAAATTGTATTAGCAATGATCAGGACATCTTGCAAGATCTTCCTTTCAATTCTAAGATGTCCTCTCTCTCTCTCTCTTTTCTTTTTTTTAATTTGTTTTGCTAACTTTGAGCCTGTCTTATTTATTTATAATTATACATCATTGAAATGTATTTTGAAAGATGCATTTGTATTTCATTTGTATATATGGCTGGTTTTATTTTTGTTACACATTTGTATATTGATGTATTTGTGTAAATGGAGACCTGTACATTTTGAATTCTAAAAGGAAAATAAAACAAAAGAAAAAAGAAACATCTGACTTAGTTGTGTTTTGATTTCAGAGCTGTGTTTTGCTCCTTCCCTAAAGAGAAGGTGTAAGCTGACCATATGTCCTAAGAATTGATGGCGTAGAGCAGTGTTCCTCAACCTTGGCTGCTTTAAGCTGTGTGGACTTCAACTCCCAGAATTCCCCAGCCAGCCATGCTGGGGAGTTGAAGTCCACGCAGCTTAAAGCAGCCAAGGTTGAGGAACAATGGTGTAGAGCAATGTTACTCAGCCTTGGTGATGTTCAGATGGGTGGGTGAACTCCTTTCAGATCCCTGAATGAACTCCTCATATTCAGTGTGAATTGGAGCATTGCTCTGTTCTTCCTCTGCACTGCTTCTAATACAAACAATGCCCCCCACTTTCCCCTTAGTGATTTTCCCAAACCCATTCATGCAACATCAGATCTTGGAATCCCATTACTGTGTTTCTCAAGCCTGGTCGCTGAAAACAAGAAAGGAAGGAAGGAAGGAAGGAAGGAAGGAAGGAAGGAAGGAAGGAAGGAAGGA